TGCGTGTTGTGTGTGTGTGTGTGTGTGTGTGTGTGATGGTTTGCTTGTTGTGTGTGTGTGTGTGTGTGTGTGTGTGATGCTTTGCTTGTTTTTGGGTTATGTGTTTTTTTATTCTTCTTCTATCTTTGAGCTTCTAGAATAATCATTCTGACTCTACTTATTTGCTAGGTTCTAGAAGTCCTCTACAAATTGGTGCTTCAAGGCCTGGCTCCAACAAGCTTTTGTATTTTGTTGAGATATAACTGACATACAACATCATATCAGTTTCACTTGTACAACGTAACGATTTGGTATCTGTATACACTGCAAAGTGATCGCCACAGGAAGTCTTGTTACCATCCTGCTCCATACGGAGTCACTTTCTTTTTTTCTTCTGATGAGAACTTGTAAGGTTTACTCTCTTGGCACCTTTCAAATATACACTACAGCATGATTGACTATAGTCCTCATGCTATACATTACTGCATCCCCATGGCTCACTTATTTTGTACCTGGAAGCCTGTACCTCTGGACCCCCTTCACCCATTTCGCCCACCCCCACCCTCTTTCGTTATTCTGCCCACGAGGTTCAACGCAATAAAACAACTGGGACATGTCCCGAGGGCGGAATTTGTCCCGTCAGGCTTAATTCTATAATTGTTCAGAGTAAGGGTGTGGCAAAGAGACACCAAAAGGAAAGCGTTTTTAGCCTAAAAATGAGAAGTGGGGGGAGGAAGTGCCATGCCCACTGGAGGTGGGGTTAGATGAGGATTCGCAGCTGCTCTGCTCCTTTGATGCCAGGGCTTAACTTACAGCAAGAGGAATTGAGGATCCCTCAGAGGAAAAGCATCCTGAAGCTTCCCAGCCCTGGCAACGTCTCACCAACAGGGGTTGCCGGGTGCACCTCTAGATTTTGTTTTGTTTTGTTTTTAGTGTGATGTTGTCTTTGTAAATCTGTCTATTTTTTGTTGTTATTCATTCTAAATTATAGACATTTTAGACTTTTTTCTTCATCACTCAAGTAATACATGTTTATTGTAGAAAGAAGTGGAAAATACTGAGAAGCAATGAGAAAAAAAGTATCTGTAATTTCACTGCCCAGAGATAAGCTGTTATCAGCGTGAGGCACGTGTTTTCCGACATTTTTCCCTGGAAGACCGGGTAAGGACATGCTGGTCCAGTCATAAGGTGTAGCTGCTAAAACAATGGTACATCTGTGCTGCACCAGCATCGGGCCTCGGCCTCTGTGTTTATCCAAAATCTGCTCCTTGGTTTCATCTCTGGCCGTGGCCTTGGCAAGTGAAAGAGCTGAATACCAACTTTTCCACCATGTGGCAACCTTGAACTCATGTCTGCTCAGTGATTGTGTGGCGCAACAGATTACCATCAATTCTACAGGAACGTCAGTTACTTGAACAAGACATAAACAGATTTTGAGCTGATATCTAAATACTCACCTAAAAATATACATAAGCATTTAAAATGTAACCTGGAGGGACGATTCCTATATGTGCTTCATATACTAAAATTCTAACAGTTGGAGAATTTGTTGCAAGTATAAATATTGCAAGTATAAATGTAAGTATATGTAATAAGTATAAAATGTATATGAATATAAATATATAATATATGAGTAAAATGCTATTATAATTAAGAATAAGTACAAGTTATTTATTTTATGTATTAAAGTGACTACTGAATCTTTTAAAAGTTAAATAAATAGTTTGCAAATATTAAACAACACAATATTAATATAGAATAAACTAACCAAATATTAATAGAGAATGAATTAGCAAAATAACTTAGGAAGATCATGATATCTTTTCTAAACCAAAGCATGCTTATAACACTTTAAATAATAAAATTGGGCAGAATGATATTCAGCAACTTAATTCTAGTTGGCCATAATTTTTTCAAGGAAAATTTCTGTTTTGTAATTCTTCACCTTTTTTTTTTTTGAGTTAAATTTATTTATTTATTTCGCCCCAGTGTTTGCGTCCATGGGTTATGCTAATGTGCATGCGTACAAGTCCTTTGGTTGCTCTCTAATCCGCCCCCCCCCCCAACCTCTCCTGCCATTTGTCTCTGGATCTATTTTTGTTCATCAGATTATGTTGATCATTATATCCCACATGAGTGAGATCATGTGATGTTTATCTTTCTCCAACTGGCTTATTTCACTTAGCATAATGCTCTCCAGTTCCATCCATGCTGCTGCAAATGGTAAAAGTTCCTTCTTTTTCATAGCGGTGTAGTATTCCGTTGTGTAGAAGATGTACCATAGTTTTTTAATCCACTCATCTGCTGATGGGCACTTAGGCTGTTTCCAAATCTTAGCTATTATAAACCGTGCTGCTATGAACATAGGGGTGCATATATCCTTTCTGATTGGTGTTTCTGGTTTCTTGGGATATATTCTTAGAAGTGGGATCACTGGGTCAAATGGGAGTTCCATTTTTAACTTTTTGAGGAAACTCCATACTGTCTTCCACAGTAGCTGCACCAGTCTGCATTCCCACCAGTAGTGAAGAAGGGCTCCTTTTTCTCCACATCCTCGCCAGCACTTGTCATTTGTTGATTTGTTGGATAGCCAGTCTGACAGATGTGAGATGATATTTCATTGTTGTTTTGATTTGCATCTCTCGGATGATTAGTGACTTTGAGCATGTTTTCATGTGTCTCTTGGCATTATGAATGTCCTCTTTTGAAAGGTGTCTATTTAGGTCCTTTGCCCATTTTTTGATTGGATTGTTTATCTTGCTTTTGTTAAGTTGTATGAGTTCCCTATAAATGTTGGAGATTAAACCCTTATTGGTGATAACATTGGCGAATATGTTCTCCCATGCAGCTTTCTTGTTGTTTTATAGATGGTTTCTTTTGCTGTGCAGAAGCTTTTTATTTTGATGTAGTACAATTTGTTTATTTCCTTCTTAGTCTCCATTTCCCTAGGAGCTGTGTCTGTAAAGATATTGCTACAACACATGTCTGCTATTTTGCTGCCTATGGAGTCTTGTAGGATTTTTATGGTTTCCTGTCTTACATTTAAGTCCTTTAGCCATTTTGAGTTTGTTTTTGTGTATGGTGTAAGTTGGTGATCTAGTTTCATTTTTTTGCATGTATCTGACCAAATTTCCAAGCACCATTTATTAAAAAGACTGTCTTGACTCCACTGTATGCTCTAGCCTCCTTTGTCAAATATTAATTGAACATAATGACTTGAGTCTATTTCTGGGATCTCTTTTCTGTTCCATTGGTCTATATGTCTGATCTTGTGCCAGTACCAGGCAGTTTTGAGAACCGTGGCTTGGTACTATAGCTTGATATCTGGTATTGTAATCCCTCCAACTTTGTTCTTCTTTCTCAGGATTGCTGTAGCTATTCGGGGTCTTTTTATATTCCAGATGAATTTTTGGAGAGTTTTTTCTAGATCTTTGAAGTATACCATTGGTATTTTAATGGGGATTGCATTGAATCTGTAGATTGCTTTGGATAGGATGGACATTTTAATGATGTTGAGTCTACCAATCCATGAACATGGAATGTTCTTCCATTTGTTTATGTCTTCTATCTCTTTTTTCAATGTCCTGTAGTTTTCTGAGTACAGGTCTTTTACCTCCTTAGTTAAGTTTATTCCTAGGTATCTTAGTTTTTTTGGTGTAATGGTAAATGGGATTGTTTTTTTAGTTTCTCTTTCTGTGAGTTCATTATTGGTGTATAAAAAGGTCATAGATTTCCGGGTGTTACTTTTGTATCCTGCTACATTGCCAAATTCATTTATTAGGTCTAGTAGTTTTTTGATGGAGTCTTTGGGGTTTTCTATGTACAGTATCATGTCATCTGCAAATAAGGACAGTTTTACTTCTTCTTTTCCAATTTAGATGCCTTTTATTTCTTCTTCTTATCTGATTGCAATGACTAGCATTTCTAGTACTATATCGAACAGGAGTGATGAAAGTGGGCATCCCTGTCTTGTACCCATTCTTAGGGGAAATGAGTTTAGTTTTTTCCCATTGAGTATGTTGGCTGTAGGTTTGTCATATAAGGTTTTTATTATGTTGAGTTATAATCCCTCTAGTCCCACTTTGCTGAGAGTTTTTATCAACAAAGTGTGTTGGATTTTCTCAAATGCTTTTTCTGTATCAATTCATTACTTTCTTTTTAAAGACAAATTAAAACTGTTGTGTAAACTCTGCCACCTTAAAATTTCATAAGGAGAAAAAGTTTCCAAATCATGAACCATAGCATCCACAATAAAACATATTTTCCAGACACAAGAAATATAAAGAGGCCCTAGCCTGTTTGGCTCAGTGGATAGAGCATCAATTTGAGGACTGAAGGTCCCAGGTTTGATTCTGGTTAGGGCATGTACCTTGGTTACGTGCTCAATCCTTGGCCCTGGTGGGGGTGCATGCAGTAGGCAACTAATCTATGTTTCTCTCTCTCTCTGCCTCTCCCTCTCCCTCTCCCTTCCACTTTGTCTAAAAAATCAATGGAAAAAAATATCCTCAGGTGAGGATTAACAAAAGGAAGGAAGGAAGGATAAAGCATAGAACAAGGTGTTAGAGAAAAATGAACCCACATGACTAATCCTATTTTATAATTATAAACTTCCTAAGATTCCTCTAATAAAGCAATTCTTTATAGTCTTTGAGCTTGTAGAAGCTATCATTTTAAATAAAAAGCTTGTTGAAATATTACTATAGCTACCAGTTCTTTACTGTAAAGATAAAGAATTTTTGTGATTTGTTAATGTTATGAATCCTATATAATAAAGAGGTAATATGCAAATTAACCATCACACTCTCACAAGATGGCTTCCTACAACCAAGCTTGCAGGGGATTTAGTGAGGAATGACCAAAAGACTGAACAAGCAGGCTGCATGGGGCAACCGGGAAAAATTAGGGGCAACCAGGTGGTGGGAGGGGGAAGTTGTACATGATTAGGCTGGCAGGGGGGGACAGTGAGGGGTTACTAGGCTGGAGAGGGTGCAGTTGGGGGCAACCAGGCCGGGAAGGGGGCAGTAAGAGGTGACCAGGCTGGTGGAGGGGCCAGTTAGGAGCAATCAGGCCAGCAGGGAGGGGCAAGGATGAAGATATGCATATTGCTAAAGCAGAGGCTATGGTCAAATATCATAGGCAACTAATATATAGTGTAAAATGGAGGTTACCTGGCTGGACGTGGGGAGCAGTTAGGGGCAACTGACAGGCAGGTTAGCAATTAGGAGCCAGTGGTCCGGGATTGCGAGAAGGATTTCCCCCAAGGGGTCCCGGATTGGAGAGGTTGCAGACTGGACTAAGGGCCCCCCAACCCCGCCATGCATGAATTTCGTGTACCAGGCCTCGAGTCTTCAATTAAAAACTTCTAGAAAGCACAGTGTTGTCCTGGCTGGGTAGCTCAGTTGGTTGGAGCTTTGTCCTGTACACTAAAGGGTATTGGATTTGATCCCTGGTCAGGGTGCATATGGGAGGCAATCAATTAATGTTTTTCTCTCACATATTTCTATCTCTTTCTTTCTCTCTCTCTCATTCTCCCCCTTCCTCTCTCTTTCAAATTAATAAAAACATATCCTTGGGTGAGGATTAAAAATATCTTTATTAAAGAATAAAGTAAATAAAACAGTGTTGAAATTATTGCTTGAATTATATCCTGCTATGTACAAGTTGTTGGTAACATTCTTAAATGTGCCAGTTGAAAGTGTTCCTTTCTTTAGTATTAGAATGTGCAGAATAGTGGCTAAAAGAGCTATCTAGCAATTAGCTCTGAGAAACTAGTATGTTCCTAGAATATAATAACAACATTTAAAATTTTGCTTGTGAAATATTAACTATGAAAATAATTGAAACATCCTATATAATAAAAGCCTACTATGCAAATTGTCTCCTTGAGCAGTCATTTTACCTGGAGACTGGGAGTTCAACCACCCACTATGATATGTGCTGACCACCAGGGGGAGGCACAGAACATGGTGGGTATATGTGGCACTAGAAGTGGGTAGCAGTGGACGTGCTGCAGTGCTCCAATTGCCAGCCACTCCTAGGGACGGCACCTGTGCACAAATTTTGTGCACCTGGCCTTTAGTTTGCATATAATTTCAGATTTATTCTTTTTTTAAAAATATATTTTATTGATTTTTTACAGAGAGAAAGGGAGAGAGATAGTTAGAAACATCGATGAGAGAGAAACATCGATCAGCTGCCTCCTGCACATCTCCTACTGGGGATGTGCCCACAACCCAGGTACATGCCCTTGACCGGAATCGAACCTGGGACCTTTCAGTCCACAGGCCGTCGCTCTATCCACTGAGCCAAACCGGTTTCGGCTCAGATTTATTCTTATAGTCCAAAAATTCTTTCAATGATCATGATATTTGACCATAGCCTCTGCTACAGCAATATGCATATTTTCATCCTTGGCCATTTGCTATTTAGAATTGGAATCAGTGTGTCCTGAGAATATAAGTTATATGTTTGAGGCAGAGAGATAGGTGTCTGTCAGGATGCTTTCAACTGCATGAAACAGATATCACTATCCAAACCACCTCGGAAAAGTGGAAAGGGAAGAGCAATTCTTGGCTCATACACCTGAAGAGTCTGAGGTCATGCAAAATAGTTGCTTCAGACAAGGCTTCACCAGGGCGCAAGGGTATGAGGAGCACCTGGTTTCTCTCTCACCACTTCCCAGCTCTCCTTTTAGCAGCATTAGCCCCATCCTCAGGTATCTCTTTATGGTGCAAAAATGGCTGCCAACAGTGCCTGAAGCCACTTGCTTCCACATTCGCAAACTTTAGGAAGCAAGATAGTCTTTGTCCTTGTAGTTCCCAGCCAAAGGTACAAGGTAACCCTGTGAGATGTGATGCTTGCGTGGCATGTGCATCCCCGCAACATCACTGTAGCCAGGAGGATACCACACAGTTATTTACTTAACTCAACCAGCTCCCTTCCCTAGAGGTGGGAGAAGGTCAATGGGGGAGTGGTGGTTTCCCAAAGGAGTTATAAGATGCCATTACCAACAAGTAGGAAAAATTAATGTTGGCCAGCAATGGAGTCATGTTTTTCATTGTTAAATAAAATACGATCAAAAATGATATATAGAGCATGATCCCAATTTTGATGTATAGTTTTCAATGCAAATGTCTTTCATTGAACCAATCATCTCATTGGTTTTATAGTTGTTTGTACTATTTCACCATTAGAATCAATACTTGGACTAGCACAATCATACATAAATTATTGCACATGTGTAAGATGATCTTCTTCAAATAAATTCTTAAAAATTGAATTGTTTAGTCAAGAATATACACAAGTTAATGCTTTTAGACATCTTGCCAAATTGCCTTCCACAAAAATTATAGTTCCAGCAGCAGTGTATAGCAATGCCGCTTCCCATAACCCACCTCACCAACAGATAATATTACTCACCAGTTCAACAGGCAAAAATCACATCTCATTGTTTAAATATGTATCTCTTTGAGCATTGCTAAAGATAAAATAATTCTCACATCAGTTATCCACTGATATTTAATTTTTTATCTATTAATATTAGTTGTCTGTTGACACCCTGGCTCATTTCTCAATTGGCTGCTTATATATTAAAAATAGTTAAACTTTTGTTTGTGATATGTTGTACATTTTTTTCTCATTTGTCAGCAGTAATCAGGATACAAGCGATGCACAGAGGAGGCCAATAGTATTTTTCAAGTAAAGTTATAATTTTTTCCAAGTTAACATATAATTCGTAGCACCCAATATTATACATGTGCACAGCAGCTGCTCAAAAATTGTTGAACTAGTAAATATAAAGAAATCATATTGTCTTTCTAGCCAGACAGTGCTAAAGATTTCATATGAAGTGAATATTGAGAAAGAAAAACTTAACTAATAATGTTCCTTAAAAATGTGATTCAGGCCCAGCCGGGTGTAGCTCAGCCGTTGAGAGTCGATCCAGGAACCAGGGGGTCGCCGGTTCGATTCCTGGTCAGGGGATACACCCAGGTTGTGGGATTGATCGCCAGTGGGGGCGTGCAGGAGGCAGCCAATCAATGATTCTCTCTCATCATTGATGTTTCTATCTCTCTTTCCCCCTCCCTTCCTCTCTGACATCAATAAGAATATATTTTTTAAAAATGCGATTCAGTAAAATAACATTAAGACTTTTTTTTTTAAAGACTCTTGTTTAAGGCTTAGGATACATCTTTTTCCCCACAATTACCCCATGTTTATATACATGCAGAAGAGAAAGATAGTGAAAAGAGAAAAAACGCTTAGGAATTAGTAATCAGAACAATGATTTCATTTTTTTGAGACCTACAATATGTTCAACCATAGCATAATTATGCTCTTTTATAATCTATGTCACATACATTTATGTACGTGCATGCGCGTGCACACACACACACACACACACAATAAACAGGCATTTCTTGACATTTAAAACAATTCCAGATTGGCTCAATTCCTGTTAATCATATTAAAATGTCAAGAAAATTAAGTATTTAAGATGCAATATGGTCTTTCTTGAACTTATTTACTAGTTCTTTAAAAAAGAGAGAGAGATGGCAGGGAGTAACTGACTACTTCCTTTCAGCAGACAGTTTAATTATGTCTTCTTGCTTTCACTCAAGCAATATCTTTTACCATATGTAATAGATGGAGAGGCAGAGGGTCTCAACCTCCCGTGAGAGATGGAATGGCCGTTGTGCTGTTTTTCTTTGAGGTTTAAAGGGCTGGGGCAAAGCCACCAACAGAGACTCAGAATCTCTCGACTCTGAGTCATCTTGGGGTGCCAGTAGCATTTGAAATGTTGTGCCAAAGAATTATTAGGAACCAAAACATTGAAATCACTCCCATGTGAGTGTGAAACTCAATCTTCTTGACTTTTAAAGGAAAGATGTTTCCTTTACAATTCCACCATTTTCAAGGCCCGTAATTGCACACTGGATCAAAAGCCTGATGAGGAATGGAATCGGAAACCTGGAGATAATTTAAGAATAGCTTAGGTAACTAGACCCAGTCTTTGAAGAAGAGCTCTATGGGGGAGGTCTTAAATGATCTTAAGTCTTGACCGCAATTCCTTGGACACCGCCACAGAAAAAGAAAACACCATTTATGTTTACATGGCATCTGAAAATTCAGTTAGGCCAGCTTGAGTTGATTTTTACAGCCATTTTCACAAGTGATTTAAGTAGCTAATTAATTGGCAAATGTTCAATTCCCATCCAATCTAGTTATCTGGGTCAAGAGAAATAGACATGTCAACGCAGCCAGCAAAGAAAGAATTAGAGAATTCCTTTATTGCTCTGTGAGCCATATTCCTTTGCTATTGTGAACCAAATAACACACTTATCATGGTAAACTCAGAGTTTAAAAGTAGGCATATTTCCTACTTAATATGTGGCCTTATGTTAAATCTCATTTAAAACAAACTTCTGAAGTTCAAGGGTTTCGTCTAAAGATTTTAGAAAACAAAAGAAAGAAAGAAATGATGATAATGGTGGTGGTGGTAAAGGGTGGGGAGGAGGAGAGAAAGGAAGGAAGAAAGGGAGGGAGGGAGGGAGGGAGGGAGGAAGAGAGAGAGGGAGGGAGGAAGGAAATAGAGCCATCTAAAGAATAAATCCCATATTAAAGAAAGTAAATGTATTTGTTTTCTCCAAATTCATTATTCTGTTATTCATTTATTCCACACAGTTTTATTAAGTGCCAGTCACTGTTCTTGGCATTGGGGATGAAATGGTCATCATAAAAACAAATACTTTCCTTGTCCTCATTGGAGCTTCTAGTCTAATGAAGGATATTGCCAACAATTAAATAATCTTACAAACAAATGCAAAATTCATCACTGGGTCAAGTGACAACACATAGAAGAAAAGAGATAGGAAAAGCCAGGAGGTCAGGGAAGGAGGTTCTGAGAGGTGATACTTGAGTTCTGAACAGGGAAGGGGACAGGCATGGACTAGGTAAGCAGGGGAGCGGTCACCATGCGCAGTGACTGTGAGGTGGGAGAAAGCCAAGAGGGTAGGGATGAAAAGAAAGCCAGTGGAGCACTGGGAAATGGGGCCCATGCCGGGAGCTCTGTCTGTGCCTTCAGAGCAACGGGAAGCCACTGGAAGAAGTTACAAGTAAGCAGGAGGATGACCTGACCAGAATTACATTTTCACAACCATCCGCCTGGATGCAGTGTGTGGCCTGGATCAGAGGGCACCCGGAGGGCAGTGGGGAAACCAGCTAGAATGTCAGGAATAAGCGACTGCTGTTCTCTGGCTGTGGTAGTTAGATCGGGACGGTGCCAGTGGAGACGAATTGAAGGAAAACCCAGAAAGACTTGAATTAAATTGGAATAAGTAAAAGGGCCTATGGAATAAGCTCATGTGGTAAAGCTAACTGCTTTGGGTGGTGGGAAGGAGGGTTAATACAACAGCAATGCTTTATAAGGCCAAATACTGCTTATGACTCAGGCGACGGGCATTCTAAATCTAAATAAGTCTAAATCCAGAATTGTGGCTAGTTAGGTTCCTCTGAGGCCTTACATGTGCCTGCAGAGCTAATGTAAGACAAAACTAGGGGGAACTATGAAAAATCCGCTCCCGTAGAAAGGCATAGAGATTATCACTTTCATCATAATAAAAAGAAATAACAAACAAAAATTCTCTCTCTCAATAACTAATCCCAGAGAGCGACATGCCCTTCAAAGAAGAGTACAAAGTAGTGGTTATTTTCATACTTGGGACAAACTGCCTAGCTGAGGACAGGCGGGCGGAAGAGTAGGCCTGGTAGAGAAAGAGTTTGATAGAATGAAGAGAAATCAGCTGAACTTTTCACAATAGTGTGGGCTGGCATGAAACATTGGAACGTGGAGGAGTCCCAAACAAAGAACTACACCTGTCAGAACAGCATTGCTCCCCGCTAGGCATTTTGCTGGGTCAGCAGCCGTTGGGAGGGAGCTGGGAGGGAGAGAGAGGTCTCCCAGGCCCTGGTGCTGCTCAGGGTTCCAGAGCCTTCTGCAGGTGCGTCTGGAGATGAAACCAAACAAATTAAAAATGCAACCAGCCTGGCTGGCGTGTGACTCAGTAGTTGTGTGTCAACCTATGAACCAGGA